GGGGGTCTGGGGACCATGTTTTCAGGGGACATCTAGGTCAACTGGCATAACAAAGTTTTTTCAGAAAATGTTCTACATCCCACTTTGGTGAGTGGCATCTGGGGTCTTAAAAGCTGGTGAGTGGCCATCTAAGATGCATCAATTGGTCCCAACTCACCTGGAGTAAAAGAGAATGAAGAACACCATGGACACAAGGTAAGTATTAGCCCAAGAGACAGAAAGGGCTACATAAACAGAGACTTCATCAGCCTGAGACCAGAAGACCTAGATGGTGCCTGGCTACCACCAATGACCACCCTGACAGGGAACACTACAGAGAGTACCTGATGGAGCAGGAGAAAAGTGGGGTGCAGAACTCAGACCAGACTTAATGGTTTGACTGAGACTGGAAGGACCCCGGAAGACATGGCCCTCAGACTCTCTGTTAGCCCAAAACTAAAACCATTCCCAAGACCAACTCTTCAGACAAGGATTAGTCTGGACTATGGGACATAAAACGATACTCATGAAGAGTGTGCTTCTTAGCTCAAGTAGATACATGAGACTAAATGGGCAGCTTCTGTCCGGAGGTGAGATGAGAAGGCAGAGGGTCAGGAGCTGGATGAATGGACACGGGAAATCTGGTGTGGAAAGGAAGAGTGTGCTGTCACAGTATAGGGAGAACAACTAGGGTCACAAAACAATGTATGTATAAATTTTTGTATGAGAGATTAACTTGAGTTGTAAACTTTCACTTAAAGCACAACAATAATAAAAAAAAGTCTTTGATCTCCTTATCTCCAAGAGCACCTGACACAGTGCTATGCACAAAACAATATTCGTGAGTGGATGTATTCATGTCGGTGGGCATTTGGACAGAAACAAAATCAAGCTTTTATAGTTTATAAGTCAAAGATCTATACCAGTACTGACACATGAGTTAAAAAAAAAAAAATCAATAATTTTTTAAATGATTCAAAAATTTTTTTTTTCTATCTACAACCTAAAAAACAACCATACCATTCATTCTATTTGAGGCACATCATATTTTCAGGAATGCTCTTATTTACTGAGACCAGGAATACCTTAAGAGCAAGAATGCTGCAGGCCCAAGCATAATATACCCTGCTACACATGAAACACTTAAAAAATGTTTGTTAAATGAATGAAAAGAATCTCCTTTAAGCCCTTCTTATAAGTCATAGGGTTTAGAAAGCTTACTTACTTGCAAATATACCAACATATTATGGGTCAAAATTTTGTGCAATGTTAACATTGTAGAAATTCCCTAGAAAGTCCTGTCAATTCCAAAAAAAAACCACACACACACACAAATCTCCTTAAGAATACAGCACTACAAGGTTGAGTCATTACACTGGTATTTAACTGCTAGTGATCTACACCACTAATTTAGTGTGATACTAAAATTTGTTTACTCTTTGGGGAATTTAGAGATTAACCATCTAATATAGACACTAAAATGTTACCCACAAAATTAAAGACAGTCTCTGATAATTTTTTCAAGAAACATATATGCCATTCAAATTCTTATGAAAATAAAGTGCTTTATGGGTGAGTGTTAATATGGTAAAAGGGGACTTTCTGGAACACGCAATACTTCAGTTGCATCTTGTATAAGATCCTGTATAAATCATTAAGACATAACCTTGAATATAAAGAGTTCAAAGGTATGCGCTGTTTTAATTTAAATGACAAAGCTCAGCTAATAGAAGGAAAAGTAGAGTAAATCCAAGTAGTTTCAAATACAAAGCAAAACTCAAAATTCGACTTTGATTTAGATTGGTTAAAACCTCACAGCTTCCTGATTTTAACTGGCTTAAATACTTGTTTGTAGGTTTTATTTTCCTCACTGTAACAGGCATCTTTGTATGCCGTTTCATGCAGTATATCCCCATCTGTTTGTCCTGGTACAGATCAAGAAAATTAAATATACAAACCTATACCCAATACAGTACACTGGTGGCGCAGTGGTTAAGAGCTATGGCTGCTAACCAAAGGTTGGCGGTTTGAAACCACCAACGGCTCCACAGGAAAAAAATGTGGCAGTCCGCTTTTGTAGAAATTTACAGCCTTGGAAGCCCTATGGGGTTGATATGAGTCAGAACTGTCTCGACAGCAGTGGGTAGTGGTGGGTTAGACTTGGGTTCCTACTCTACCTATTTCCTCATCACAAAGTCTCCTTAATTTTAACATATAAGAAATCAAATTACCTTCAATGGATCAAGTTCATTCTCATAGGATTTGACAATTTCCTTTGAAGATGTTAACTGGGCTTCCTTATTAGTAATCTGATCTCGAATTTCACATGCTTTTTCCTTATTCTGCTTCAGATATTTCAGTTCTGTTTGACATTCTTTTACTTTTTGACCTTGTGTTTGACGTACCTGCCGAAGTGTTTCCAAGGCTTTAATATACCTTTGAAGATATTAAATAAAAATCAAATTTCTGGCTAATTATGGTATATTCATATAAAGGAATATTATGTAGTCATTAAGATTACGTTTACAAAGAGTTATTAATAACCTGAAAAATGTTTATGACATAAAGGTAAGTAAAAAAAGTACATACATACTGTCCAAGGCTTTAATATACCTTTGAAGATATTAAATAAAAATCAAATTTCCGGCTAATTATAGTATATTCATGTAAAGAAATATTATGTAGTCATTAAGATTACATTTACAAAGAGTTCTTAATAACCTGAAAAATGTTTATGCCATAAAGGTAAGTAAAAAAATTACATACATACTGTCCACCAGGTAAAGAAACAAATGCACAGAAAGAAAACTGAAAGGAAATATACGAAATGGTTGCCACTGGGTGAGAGATTATAACTGATTACTTTTTTGCTTTTTCAAACTTCTCTGTTTCAAAAAAGAAACATCCAAATTGTAAACATGGCTCAATACTTAATCAGCTACCAAGTCTAACTAAAGGCTACAAACCTTGTTGCTGAAAAAATCTCATCAAACTTTTGCTTCAGAGCCTTTCCTTCACTTAAAGGCCAATTAGAATCTTCTTGGTGACAGAAGATGACATTATTTAGCACAGACTTGGAAACCCCGAGAGAACTTATCATCTCTCGGTCAATTTCTGCACACTTAGAGCTGAGACTGACTTTTTCACCATGCCTATAGAAAATTAAGAACATGTGTAAAACAACTGCCCATTGTACCTTTTCTACTCCTTAATCAATCCTTCACAATGTCCTTGTTAAAAATAAATCACCTCACCAGTGATTATCAGTAACTTCCTCATGCTAAACTCTTAAGTGATTAGCAGTTTACTGATAAAGTAGTATTTAAAATTGGGTGGTACAGGAATTTAAAATAGAGTGGTATTGGAAAAGATGTCAGAATTCTTTTTAAATTAGCATTTTTAGATACAATAATTAACAATATTTATAGGCAATACACAGAGGAAAATAAAGTATCTTCCACCCCTACAACTTAAAAATAATCAAAATAAGAGAGGGTAAACAAAAACATCTAAAGAATGTATAGTTTAGAAAAAAGGACACTTAGCAACAGACATATGGAGAAAGGAGAGTAAAGGCAAATTTTGGTAGTGCTCATCCAAGTATGGTCCAAGGAGGAATATTCTTTTTTTTTCCCTTCTAAGTTTTATTTATTTTGTTGTTGAGAATATACACAGCAAAACAAACACCAATTTAACAGTTTCTCCATGCGCAATTTAGTGACACTGGTTCCATTCTTCCATTGTGCAACCATTCTTACCCTCCTTTTCTGAGTTGTTCTCCCATATTATAATTTACTTATGGTATATTCACTGCCCCTTAAGGTTCCTACCTAATCTTTGGAGTTGCTGTTGTCAATTTGATCACGTATAGACAGTTCTTAAAAGAGCATAATGCTCAAGGCAGACCTGTTTTACTAGTTAAGCTAAACTATTGTTTGGTTTTAAGATGACTTCACGGGACATTTTTGGTTTAAGGTTTAAAGATTATCTCAGGGTAACAGTTTCAGGGGTTCATCCACCCTCCAAGGCTCCAGAAAGTCTTGATTTCATGAAAATTAAATTCTGTTCTGCATTTTCCCCCATTTGATCAGGATTCTTCTATGAAATCTTTGATCAAAATGTTCAGTAATGGTACCCAGGCACCATCCAGTTCTTCTGGTCTCATGGCAAAGGATGTAGTTGTTCATGGAGGCAATAAGCCACATATTCCATATCCTCCTCCTATTCCTGACTCAAAGAGGAAGATTCTTAATCAGTGGACCTCGAGTTCCAGGGTCACACTGACAAGATGATCCAACAGAAAACTGTTTCAGGACTTTTCAGCTTGATGCCACAAAACTCCTAATACATGATTCCTCTTTTTCTCAGCCTGGTTCATCAACCAACCTTCAGCTGCCTTGTCCACAGACCAGTTCAAGGAATAATATGTTCTGTATGTCTTTTATTTCAGACTCTTTTAAGCTCTGTCAATGTATTTCAGTAATGCCCTTATCAGAATAACTTTGGAACACTGATTGGTATTTCAGTCTATAATGCCAAGCACAGGACTGGAACTGTCGTAAATTCACCGAAGTATTACCATCCCACAGAAATCTAAGTGGCCAGCTGGTTAGCCCCAGGCAAGACTCCAGCCCTAATGAGCACTCACTGACTCAAACTTTTATTATATTGCAGTTGAATTCTACTGTTATGTTTGTCTATCAACTTTCTTCCCCTCTATCCACATAACTACAGTGGCACAGACCTTGGATTCACAAAAGCTCCCTGGTTGCTCAGCTGGGTTTGGGACTGAGTGACTGCTGCCTCAGTTTGGTTACTACACAAAACAGAGGACAGGTGACACTGGAAGCTGTTGTAATGGCTGTTTTCTGTCTTGTGGACTGTAAAACAGAGAAAGCTAACCTATAGCAAGAGAAAAACTTGAGATTCCAGGAGGCAAATATAAGACATGTAGAAAGGATTGATGATTTCCCTATATTATTATACCAAGGGCCAGGAGCATCCCTGCCCTTGGGTTCCAAGAGATACCTCAGTATCCTTCATCAAAAGGAAAAATTAACCATTTTGTTAGACAGCTTCTTTCCAATATTTAATGAGCCCTAGTGGCACAGTGGTTAAACGCTTGGCTGCTAACTAAAAAGTTGGTGGTTTGAACCCACCAGCTGCTCCATGGGAGAAAGATGTAGCAGTCTGCTTCTGTAAAGATTTACAATCTTGGAAACCCTATGGGGCAGTTCTATACTGTCCTATAGGGTCACTAGGAGTCAGAATTGACTAAACAGCAATCGGTTATCCAATGTCTGCTAATAAGTAGATTGTCTTTACTGATCTTTATACATTCCAATTTATATTTTGAAGATATTACATTGAATGTACTGAGAATGCTTTATAGCGGGCTACAGTGGACACAGATAGACCAGTAGGTTATCACAGTACACTGCGGAAAGATTATGCTGGGTTGGACTAGAATGGTGATGGCAAAAATAGAAACAGATTCCAGAAACATTTAGATTATATCCACAGGACTTGTTAACAGGCTGGATATGAAGGCTGAGAGAACTCATGACAGACTCAGGTTCTTGGTTAGTGCCACTGGATGGACAGTGGTGTCATTCACTGAGAGGAGGAGTACTGGAAGAGAATCAGGTTGTTGGAAGTTTTTTGAGGGGGCAAGGGAAAAGATCATGAGCTCGCTTTTGGACATGCTGAATATGAGGTGACTCATAAATTTATATCTCCAGCCCAGACCTGCTTCTAGACCTATGTATCTGTTTTAGGATGGGTTCTCTAGAGGAACAAAACCAGTGAAGCATATACAGGTAGTCCCCAGGTTACAAACGAGATCCGTTCCTAAGTGTACCTTTTTAAGCTGAATTTGTAGGTAAATCAAACAGGTGAATACAGTTCTTAGTTAGCCTTACTTTAGTGCAAGAAAATGCTCAAAGTTTTTTCAATGATTTAAAAGCTGCACATGCAGCAAATGAAGGTGACTGTCATAAAGAATTTGTTGCGAGTAGAGCAGGGGTTGGTTCAATTGTTTCAAAGTGAGAGCAAATTTACATAACATTAAAGGGCAAGTACAAGTTGCTTGTAAGTCAGACTTCCATAACTTGGGGACTTACTGTATATAAATAGACATAGAGAAATTTACTTCAAGGAAATAGCTCACACAGTTGTGGGAGCCAGCAAGTCCCAAATCCATGGCAGGCTGAATGCTTCTCCTGGTTCACATGGTTGCAGGGGCTGATGAACCCAAAATCTGCAGGTCAAGCAGCTGGCTAAAGGCTTCTACAAGAACTGGAGGTCAGACCAGGAGACTAGTGTAGGATCAACACAGAGAGCGTGAGCTTTACTAGGACATCCATATATATTGGATTCAGGCCATACCTCCATAGAAACTCTCCTTCCAACTGACTGGCTGTTCACATCAGAACACAAAATGGAGGATGATTACATAATATCTGCCAAACCACTGAGAATCATGGTCTAGCCAAGTTGACACATAACATTAACCATTACAATATCTAAGTACCTTGCTCTCATTTTCTACCGTTTCAAAGATGCTGCATATTCAATATGTCTAAAAGTGAGCTCATAGTAGCACACAGTAGATACTAAATACTACTGACTAAACAAAACAATTATTTAATTAGTTTATTAATAAATAAATAAATGAAAGAGAGGAGAGACAAATGGTTAAGTAATTTGCTCAACAGGGATAAAGCCTTGAATCCAAGATAGTCTAATTCTAAAATTCATACCATTACAAGATGATACCTGCCCCTAACAGAAAGATAAAGGTTGAATGAGACAAATTATTATTCTTCCCTACTTGTCTGTTTCTAATCTCACCTATTCCTAGACATAATACCAGCATTTTTAATTCATTTAATCCATATTGAGTGATTATACACCTTTGATTCAGCAACTGTTCATAAATTACTCAAGAGAATGGATTATTATCACTAAATCTTCAATGGGATTATTCTACTGAATTGATAAATTGTACCAAATAAAAAGTTAATACGCTTCCCTAAAAGAATAAATTAAAGTAGTAGAAAAAACCTACGATCTTATAAATCTAAAATGAATAGATACTCAAATATAAAATAAATACATACTTTGTTCTAGTAATGACTCCTTCCAGGGTTTTAAATTCTGTCTTTTTACTTTTCTGAGTACACACCATAGATCGCTGCACAGCTAAGAGTTCTCCATTGACATCACGAAACTGTAGACGAATCTGGGCTCTAACATCTGTTTCTTGAGCAACCTTTGAAAGTAAACAAAGTAAAATCATGCTACCTTAACAAGCATCAGAATATCAATTCTGAAAGAAAAGGCATAATCTTATTTACTCATTATGGGGGAATAAAAAAAAGGAAAAACTTAACATCCAAAATGAGTGACGTTTTTACATATTATTCAAAACATGGAAGGAAAAAAGTACTGTTTAACTGATTTACTAAAATTACATTATAACACCATCTACCTCTTTTTTTTGGCATCATTACATCAGATATGCAGATGCTTCAAATAAGTGAATTTTACCTTACCTTTTTTAATCTTATCTTTCTCTTTACTTAAAAACTACCAAAGATGTTTTAAAAAAATTTTTTTTGAACAATCACAAGCTTACAGAAAAGTGAAAATTCAGTATACATAAAATTTTCCTCCTAAATCACTTGAGAGTAAATTGATCTACTATCCCATCATCAATGTATCCAACAAAACAAGCACATTTTCAACCAAGAAAACCAGGAGATTTACACTGATATGTTACTACCACCTGGGCCTCAAATCCTATTTGAGTTTCTTATAAATATGCTCAAGGATGTAAAGAAAAACATAAGCATAATGAGAGAAATGGAAGATATTAACAAAAAGACCCAATAAAGCAAAAATACTAATAGTCTCTTTAAACATAATGGTAGAGAAAACTTAAAAGTAGGATAGAGGGGCAAAGCCAAGATGGCGGACTACACAGATGCACTAAGCCGACCTGCTGCAACATAGACCCAAAAAACCAAGTAAAACAGATAGAGACATCAATCCTGGAACCTTGAACCTTAAATGAAGTGATAAAGTATTAGATTGGAAGCCACTGAGAAGAAACTAACAAATCAGCAAAGGAGGGAATGGAAGTCCCCGGCCAAATGGCACAACTCAGCGTTGCCATCTTGGGATAACGCCAACAACCCCACACACAGAAAGCCATCTCCACGGAATTCCCAGTAGGAGACAGAGGTATGGAGCCAACCCACCCAGGGCTAAGTTAAGACCACATTTGCTGGCTGCAACTCAAGGAAGAGCCCAGACTCTCTCACCCAGTAACCACAGGAGCATGCTCCTACAACCCCCACCCCTCTGGTGAAGGCAGCAAGACTGCCCCATCCCAGTGGTCACATCCCAGCAGCCTCGACTGCTGGGAACCACAGTTCTAACCCACCTTATTGCCCTCCTCCATCTAGCCCACTCTGGCCCTGCCTTTGCCTCCCTCTCCTACCTCTCTCCTCAGGCCCACCAGCCAGACCCCCAGAACCCTCATCGCTGGCTAGACCCCACATTGCCGTGCCCCGCAGCCCTGAGGGAAACTAGCCCGGACCGGCAGACCCCCTCCCTGCTGTCTTGGCGCCAGCATCGCCACATCCCGCAGCCCTTGGGGAAACCAGCCCTGACCCCCAGACCCTTCCCCGCCATCTCAGCCCCCGCTTCACCACACCCTGCAACCCTGAGGGGAACTGGCCTGGTCCCCCAGGCCCCTCCCACATTGGGTCAGCCCCAAGGGAAACCAGCCCGAACTGCAAGACCCCTCCCAGAAACCAGCCCGCCCTGCCATAGGCCCTACTCCAGCCCCTGGCCCCAGCCTGTTTCATGCCACAGACAAATGACCAATCTCCACCTCTTCCCCCACTGCTGAACCCACCCTGCTGCAGCACAGCTGAATGTCCAGCCCTGTACACCCGGACAAGGTGGTGAGAACTATTGTGTCCAGAGACAAGCAAGCAACAAAGCACACCTAGCCTGCCTCCCTAGACATAACCAAACAAAACAAAAAAGCAAGATGAGACAAACCTACAATCAATAAATAAAGAAAATATTACCTGAATTTCTTGTACCGAGCAGATAAAATCAAAACATATTTTAAAAAAAAGACAAGATAACTCCAGTAAGTGACTAAAATAAAGCACCAAGTGACCTTCTGGCAGAAGAAAAGGCACTAGAACTACCTGATAAAAAATTCAAAAATCTAATATTAAGGGTTCCCTAAGAGATGAGGAAACAGATCAAGGAAAACACAGACAAAATCATGGAGAATACAGACAAAACCAACAAAAACATAAGCCAAAATCAAGGAAAACAAAGGTAAAGCAATAGAAGAATTCAGGAAAATGATACAAGAACAAAATGTCAAAATAAATAAATAATTAGAAATCTAACAAAAACAGTAATTGGAAATCTAAAAGATAAACAACAAAATTTTAAAAATGGACAACGTGATAGGAGGTTTTAAGAGTAAATCTGAAACAATGGAAGACAGTATCAGCAAAACTGAAGACAAATAGATGCCATTTTGTCTGGGGAAAAATCACACAAAAGAATGAAGAAAATCTAAGAACTATGTGGGATACAATCAAGAGCAAAAATCTGCGCATGATCAGAGCTCCAGAACAGGAGGAGAAAATGGAAAACAGAGGACCACTTAAGATTTGCTGACAGAAAACTTCCCTAATATCATAAAAGATGAAAATGTGATCATCCAAAAAGCTCAACAAACCCCATATAAGATAGACCCCAAAAGAAAATCACCAAAATATGTAACAATCACACTTGCCAAAACCAAAGAATCCTGAGAGCAGCTCAAGAAAAATGAAACGTCACATACAAAGGGGAAACAATAAGACTAAACTCTGATTTACTTGGCAGAAACCATGCAGGCAAGAAGGCAATGGGAATGACATATATAAAACCTTGAAAGAAAAAAATTGCCAACCAAGAATAATACATCCTGCAAAACTTTCTCAAATATGATGGTGAAATTAGGACAGTCTCAGATAAACAGAAATTAAGGGAATTTGTAAAAACTAAAGCAAACTTGTAAGAACTATTAAAGAGAGTCCTTCAGTTAGAGAACAAACAACAGAAGACAACAACCTAAATCTAGGACACAGGCCAGTATCAGCCCAATACTGACCTAGGTAATGAACTCTCAAGGATAAAACAAAACTAAAAGAAACAAAACAGAGATATAGAGACATCAATCTGTAAATGACAACAATGTCTGAACAATAAAAGGGGGAATACACAAGGTAGGTAAACAGCTTTAAAATGTAGAGAAAGTCCAGGTGATATCAAGTCATAAAAGACTGGTTTAAACTTAGAAAGATACAAGAAAATTTCAAGATTCACACAAAGAAAGTTAACAAATCAACTCATCAAAATAAACAAGAAACACATAAAGTCTCAGTAACAACAAAATCTGCAACAATGAAAGAAACAAAAAGAAATTCCACAAACAAAAGGAACTCAGCACAGGAAAATAAGAAGAAAAAAGAAAACCTCAGCACCACAAAAAAAAAAGCACTACAAAATGACAGCAATACACTCACAGCTATCAATAATTACTCTAAACGTAAACAGCTTAAATGCACTCATAGAGACAGAGTGATAGAATGGACAGAAAACCATGACCCATCACCGTGCTGGCTACAAGAGACATACCTTAGACACAAAGGCATAAATATATTAAAAAATCAAAGGATGCAATATATGAAGCAAACAACAACAGAATACACATTACTTTAATGCATTAATGGAAAATTCACCAAGATAAACCATATTCTAGACCATAAAACAAGTGTCAATAAGTTTAAAAGGGTTTAAGTCATATAGAGAATTAAACTAGAAACTGGTAACAGAAAAATACCGGGAAACTCACCAAATATTTGAAAACTGAGCAACATACTTCTAAACAACCCAGGGATCAAAGAATAAATCAGAAAACGAATTAGGAAATACTACAAATGAATTAAAATGAAAAGCATAGTATATAAAAATTTGTGGAACTGAAGCTAAATAATGCATTATTAAGACTTCTAGGCAACATGGCACTACAGACAGAAGCACCACACCATACCTCCACAGCAAAGATACGAAAAACTAAGTCAAAAAAGGACAAACATCAATCCTGAAATCCTAAGCATCAAACGAAGAGATAAAGAACTCAGCCAAGCACCGAATGGAATAAGAAACTGACAGAGAACAGAGAAAGAGGAGAGATACATGCAGAGGTCCGCTATCAGCTAACGCAGCACAGATCCGCCATCTTGGAATCCTATCGGAGAATGGCAAATGGGGTACGAGAAAGCAGCTTCACGGAGCTTCTAGCAGGAGACAGAACCACTGGTAACCAGCAATATACACTTTCCAACTCCTATTCTTCTTCACCCCCCACTCAGCCTCCCTTGCTTCCTGTGGCTGCTGTCTCTTGGCCGAGAAGCACTGGCTTCACCCCAGTGCCGCCTAGATTCCAGCCACCTGCACTGGTCAGCTCCCTGAGTGCCTTTGTTGGCTGCTGGTGTTACTTTCTTTCTGCTTCTTTTGATTTCTTCCTTACCTCTCACCAACTCCCCCCCTTTCTGTCAAATACCTGGCTCCGTGTGCCATCTTTGTTTCTTCCTAAAAGGCTGTGAAATATGGCTCTCCTTCCTGGACCATACCGCCACACTGGTGGGATCCCTAGGGCTTTTTGTTTGTTCTCATCTGTTCTGTTTTTATTTGTTTGTTTCTTTGTTTTCTTTTTCTTTTCTCAGCTTGGGACCTCCTAGCTGGGCAGTACTGCATGGCTTGGGAGCCCAGGGGAATTTCTTTTTTCTTGGGTTTGTTTTTTTTTTTTCTTTGTTTTGTTTTCTTCTCTTTATTTTTCCTTTTTTGTCTTTCTTCATTTCTCAGTTTCTGGTCCTTCTATACTTACCTTCTCTTCCTATCTCCTAAATACCTGGTGCTGTGTGACACCTTCACCCCTTCTATCCAGGCTGTATTTCATGGCTTGGGAGCAACCTCCCCAGTCCTCACAACCACACCAGTGGGATCCCTGGAGGTTTTCTTTTGTTTTTCTTCTAATTTTTATTTATTCCTTTTATCTTTTTTTTTTCCTTTTTCTTTTTCTCCATTGTTCAGTCTCTCATTGGTCCACTCAAACAGCAAGCTCCCTTAGCACTCTTTTTATTTGCTTGTATGTTTTTGGCTCCTGTTACTCTCTCCTCTCTCTCC